GTCTTCAGACGGCTGGTTCTTCGTCAGCCTTTCAACCAGAGGTGCAGACTGAGGGAGAGGTTTGAGGGTGGGAGGGAGACTGGATTCCCGGACCTGCTCAAGCAGTCGTCTCAGCCCTGGCTGAGCGTGAGCATGACGAGGGTCATCCAGGGAACTTCTGAAACTCAGCAGGAGCAGGTCCCACCCCAACGAGTTAGAATTCCAGGCGATGGTCCCCCGGTGGTTGCTGAGGTTGGGAGTCCCACCCTGGAGGCGGATACCTTGTCTTCCCCAGTGCCTCCCGTCTAAACCCGGAATCCACATTCTGGTCTCTCAGCCTTCGCTCACTCCCGAACAGCCCCACATGGAACGTCCTCTCCTTTCCTTCACTTACTCAGATCCATTTTCATCCTCTGGGTCTTATCTATGTCCCAGGCCTCCAAACAGACCTTCAGTTTACAGGGATCTCCGTGAATTTTCGTAACTTAAAAAATTCATCACTTATCCAGTGGATACCACGCAGTGACACAAGCCGCCGTTTTCCCTGTACTTTCTTAATATCTCCGTTATTACATCCAGCTCAGTGACCTCCTTGAAAGACCTCCCTGTTGATAGTAAAATATTTCTGGGACTTTGGGCTCACAGTGTTTCTTATTTAAATGTAAGTTGTTGCTGGTATTTTTTTTTTTTTAAGCCTAGATCCTTTTCCTTCTATCTCAGTGGTTTTTAACTATTTATGGCCAGGGATTCCGTTGACAATCTGGTGCAAGCTAGTAGAAAGGATTAATGAAACGAAGAGCTGGTTCTTTGAGAAGATAAACAAAATGGACAAACCCCCTAGCCAGACTTACAAATCTGGTGCCAGCTGTAGACCTTGTCCCCAGGAGAGTGCTCAGCTCGTACAAACAGGCGCTCCGTTTTACAGACAGGCAGTCGGTTCACACACCCCCTGCAGCCCACCCACGGGCTTGTTCTGTCTTTATTCTCAGCTGAGAAAAGGGTGTGGAAGGGATTTTTTTTTAACGGGGGAGCGAGGAGAGGAAGGTGGTTTGGGAGACAGCTTTTCTTAGGAGCCGCAGCGTGGGTGTGGGAGGGGGTCTTCTGACAGAAGGCTGGCATGTGGCTTGAGGGGACAAGGCCCTCTGACAGGTACAAGGGCACCAGCCATCCTCCCTCCTGTGTTTTGTCGTGGGCAAGGCCTGGTGGACCACACAGTGGGACTCCTGGGGCAAAGCAGGCGGAGCTAGTGGCTTCGTTGGCCACTAGATGTCACCACAACATCAATTCGTTTTCTGGCTTTTGGCACCCGTGCGCCTGAACCCAGAGGTAGGGTAGCAGGAGGGCTGTAGAGACTTCCTCTCAGGGACTCCATCCTGCCAAGCGTCGGCGGGATTTGCTTTCATGATTACCGTCTTTTCAATACAAGGAAGAGCAAAGGGTGGATACAGGTACATTCATGATAAATAATCGGAAATGGAAAGAAAAGTGAGCGAGGTCGGTCAAGTGGGACTCCAGGGTTCCTATTTCCCCTGGAAATGACAGTTTTCTTTTGGAAATAGTTGTTCCTGTCTCTGTGAGAAGGGATATTGGCTGGGTGGGTCTGGCAGGCTTCTGGAACAGCAAGTTAATATCGTGTGGCTCACTTTGCTGGTATGCTGAAATCCATTTTGGACCAGTTGTGACTTTCCTTTCACTAAGAATTGGGATAATGTGTGAGTTGTTTAACCTAACAGCATCTTTCTTGACGGAAGCATATTTTATTGAAGTTCTCTTTTTTTCTTACAGAACAGTCAAATCTGTTACCATGATGGACATTAGCTTGCTTTGTTTTATGGCCACGGATTGCCCCCCTGGCCCCAGTCAAATCTTTTATAATTGCGTATATTTTGGCAAGAAAATATGTGTCATCAATCTCTCTTCACTGATTTAAGGACATAATTTGTGTCAGTATATCCTTCAACATTAAAAAAATTATTGCATTTTATTTAAAAATGAGTATAACGGATACATTCTTTTAAAATTTTTATTGAAGAGTAATTGACGTACAATATCCTATTAGTTTCAGGTGTGCATCACAGGTTGATACTTCACATATATTACGAAATGATCACCACGATAAATCTAATTACCATCTGTCGCCATATGAAGTTATTACAATATTATTAACTATGTTTTCTATGCTGTTCATTACATCCCCCAAGACTTATTTATTTTATAACTGGAAGTTTTTACCTCTTAATTCCCATCGCCTCTTTCACTCACTGCCCCCCCCCCCCCAACCACTCCCCTCTCTGGTATCCACTTGTTTGTTTCCTGTACCTATGAGTCTGTTTCTGTTTTGTTTTGTATGTTCCTTTGTTTTGTTTTTCAGATTGCACATAAAAATGAAATCATCTGGTATTTGTCTTTCTCTGACTTATTTCACTTAGTGTAATGCCCTTGACGTCCATCCATGTTGTTGAAAATGGCAAGATTTCATTCTTTTTTATGGCTGAATAATATTCCATTGTATAATACCATCTCTTCTCTATCTATTCATCTGTTGATGGAGACTTCCCTATCTTGGCTACTGTAAATAATGCTGCAGTGAGCACGAAGGTGCATGTATCTTTTCAAGTTAGTGTTTTTGTTTTCTTCAGATAAATACCCAGAAGTGGAATTACTGTATATTTTTTATTTTTTGAAGGATCTCCATACTGTTTTCCGTAGTGGCTGCACTGGTTTACGTTCCCACCAACAGTGTACGAGGGTTCCTTTTCTCCACATCCTCACCAACACTTATTTTTTGTCCTTTTGATAATTGCCATTCTGACAGGTGTGACGTGATATTTCATTGTGGTTTTGATTTGCACTTCCCTGATGATTAGTGATGTTGAGCATCTTTTCGTGTGCCTGTTGGCCATCTGTATGTCTCCTTTGGGAAAATGTCTGTTCACATCCTCTGCTCACTTTTTAATTGGGTTGTTTGTTTTTTTGATATTAAGTTGTGTAAGTTTTTAATATATTTTGGATATTAACCCTTATTGGATGTATGATTTGCAAATATCTTCTTCCATTCCATAGGTTGCCTTTTTGTTTTGTTGATGGTTTCTCTTGCTGTGCAAAAGCTTTTTAGTTTGATGTAGTTGCATTTGTTTATTTTTGCTTTTGTTGCCCTTGCCTGAGGAGACCGGTCTAAAAAAATATTACTGCTTGATGTCAAAGAGCTGACTGCCTATGTTTTCTTCTAGGACTTTTATGGTTTCAGGTCTTACATTCAAGTCTTTGATCCATTTTGAATTTATTTTTGGACATGGTGTAAGAAAGTGGTCCAGATTCATTCTTTTGCCTGTAGCTGCCAAGTTTTCCCAACACCTTTTGTTGAAGAGACTGTCTTTTCCCCAGTGTATGTTTTCCCCTCCTTTGTCATAGATTAATTGACCATATACGTGTGGGTTTACTTCTGGGCTCTCTATTCTGTTCCAGTGATCTATGTGTCTGTTTTTATGACAGTACCGTACTGTTTTCATTACTCTAGCTTTGTAGTATAGTTTGAAATCAGGGATTGTGATACCTCCAGTTTTGTTCTTTGTTCTCAAGATTGCTTTGGCTATTCAACGTCTTTTCTGGTTCCATGCAAATTCAGGATTTTTTGCTCTAGCTGTGTGAAAAATGCCATTGGTATTTTGATAGCGATTGGATTGAATCTGTAGTTTGCTTTGGTTAGTATGGACATTTTAATAATATTAATTCTTCTAATCCATGAGGACAAAATATCTTTCCATTTATTTGGGTCATCTTCAACTTTTTTTCATCAATGTCTGATAGTTTTCAGAGTACAGGTCTTTTCACCTCCTTGGTTAAATTTATTCCTGGATATTTTATTCTTTTTGATGCCATTGTAAATGAGATTGTTTTCTCAATTTCTCTTTCTGATAGCTTGTTATTAGTGTACAGAAATGCATCTGATTTCTGTATGTTAATTTTGTGTCCTGCCACTTTACTGAGTTCATTTATTCCTTCTAATGGTTTGCTGGTGGCGTCTTTAGGGTTTTCTGTACTTAGTATCATGTCGTCTGCAAATAGTGATAATTTTACTTCTTCTTTTCCAATTTGGACGCCTGTTATTTATTTCTCTTGTCTAATTGCTGTGCCTAGGGCTTCAAATACTATGTCGAATAAAAGTGGTGAGAATGGGCATCCTTGTCTTATTCCTGATCTTAGAGAAAAATCTTTCATCTTTTTCACCATTGAGTATGATGCTAGCTGTGGGCTTGTCATTCATGGCCTTTATTATGTTGAGGTACTTTCCTTCTATCCCCCCTTTGTTGAGAGTTTTTATCATAAATGGATGTTGAAGTTTGTCAGATGTTTTTTCTGCATCTCTTGAGATGATCACATGAGTTTTAATGGATACGCTTTTGCTTTAGGCTAGTACAATGATATCAATACATCAAAGACCTAGATAGAATGCCAACAAATTCTGTGATGGAGTGTTTGACAACTGAACGTGAAACTAGTTGACTTCACGTTTCTGATTCCTAGGTTTGGAAAAAAAATCCCTTGGAAGTAAATAGGCTTAGTGGGAAAGTAAGCCTATTTCGTGTGCTCCAAATCTTATGAACGTTCTCTGACTCAACATGGTGTTGTTGACATAGCTAAGTCAGGAGAACATGGGTCTCTGGGGAGGAAGTGGCTTGATGTGTTTCATATAAGCTTTCCCACTCAGCCTTAACCCAGGGGAGCTAACCAGCCTTAACCCAGTCGTACCAGTTTTGGGAAGGGAGCAGTGGCTCTCTGTGTGTAAAAGGGGTAGAAAAGGAAGTGGGGAAGGCAAGACTCTTTAAGTCTCTCTATTTTAGAATTCCTATTGGGATGGGAATGCCATTTTTCGTGGGAAGTGTTCTCTCACAAATGCTGCCACGCGCGAGCTGAGGAGTAAGGTGCACCCAGCTTTGCAGCAAGGCTTGCGTGGGCCTTGCTGGGTAGTTAGGGCCACAGGACCTGCTTCTCAAGCTCGTGGATGTTCTTGTCTCCTACAGGTGCACAGCTTTAAGGGCTACTGGGAAAAACTGCACTCCAACCTGGAATATGTTAAGTACTCTGAGCCACACTCGCACTATAGCAACAGCGTGGTCAGGAGACAGTGGCACAGCCTGATCTCAGAGGAGGTAGGTGTGAGTTCCTGAGGACAAAACAAGAAGCAAAAGGGTATGTGTCAGATCCGGGGGATGCCTTAAGTCCTGGGCTGGCTGATGTTTGCAACACTCTCCCCGGCTGCCAGGCATTGTGACATTGTTGCTGCTGATCTCCCAACAGGCAGGATGAGGTGCTTCTCTGATCTCTGTTCTCTTGAGGAGGAAACTCAAGTGCAAAGAGGTTAAGGGATGCACACAACGTGTTCATAGTAGAAGTAGGATTAACTTCCGGGTCTCAGATGTGTTCTTGGAGCGTTACTCGTTTAGTCAAAAATTGAGTTAACACAATCTAAGTGTTCCCAGATTAGAGGTTGCTGGGGGTTAGGGATGGTGGGAAGAAGAGTGGGTGTGACTGACTATAAAGGGGGAACACAGGGAGATCGCTGGGGTGATGGAACGGTTCTGTATCTTGATTGTGGTGGTGCCTTGTGGTACATGAATCTACGCATGTGATAAAATGACACAGAACGATACACTCATTGTACCGAGGTCAGTTTCCTGATTTTGATACAGAGCTATAGTCATTTCTATAAGGTGTAAACACTGGGGGTGACTGGGTGAACAGAGTATGAGATCTCTGTGTAGCATTGTTGTATATAGCTGTAGTTTTGCTGTGTATAATATATAGTTGACTTGCAACTTCCTGTAAATCTATAATAGTTTCAGGATAAAACGTTTTTTTAAAACAATTATTTAAGACTCTAAGTGTTCTGATTACCTGGAAAGTATATTTCTTTTTCCCGAAGCTCTGGGGCATTATGTCCTTGATGTGAAAAATATCACCCACAAAACCTTCACCTTACACACCTCTGACATGTTCTCGCTCCTAGAAAACAGGGAAAAGGAGGTCCATGGCGTATGTGAGGAATATTCTTGATAATGCAATAAAGTAAGTAGAATTAAGGATTATCGTATCTGTAAGATGATTATCTTTGCAGTCACTTTTTTTTTTGCTGTCTTTCACGGAAGTAGCTTACTTTTGCTGTGCATCCTCAGCAAAATGAGTCTGTCAGCTTAATGCGTGCAGCCGCCCGGGCGCTGTTCTGGCATTTCTATGTTCAACTTTATAGACTTGCCTCCCGGGGATGGATGATTTAAAAGGGATAAGTGGTACAGAAAGCTCTTATTAATTGAGCGCTTTATGGGGTGCAGACAATAGATTGACTTAAACAAGTGTGGTTGGGCTGGTGAGCTTGCTCTTATTTTGAAAGCGTTGTTTTCTGAACAGATGAGTCATCCCAGTGCTGCAAGGAGAGGCCCTGTTCCAACCCCAGTTCTATTTTCTGTTCCCATTATTTCCAAAAACTAAGAGCTGCAATTGTTCTAAATTATGGTCATTGCACCAAAGGGTTTTGAGATTTTATAATTGCCTAATGTGGCTTTTGCCAAGTTGCTTCAAGTTTTTGAGGTGTTTGGCAGTCTGAGAACGGTTTCTGCAGTGGTCTTATGGGTTTTAGAAGAAGATATCTTTGTATGGTATTGTGGCTTTCATTGTTTGTTTTTTTTTTTAAATAATATTTCCTGTGTCAATAACATTGGCTAATTTCTTTGTAGGGTGATTTCCAAGCTAGAAGCAAGGCATTTGGGTAAGAAAAGACCTGTAACAAAACCTCTGGGCTTCAGTCAGTGTTTTGTTTGTGACGCTGTTCTTCCTGCTCTGTGGGTTGGCAAGAAAACCGCCTCCAATCGTGTAATGAAGGCAACACCCTTTAATGTCTTCCTGTCAGTGGCCACCGGCCCCTTCCATGCCCGTCCTGGCACGGCGGCTGACTGTGCCTTTGCTGGAGGTGTCCCTGAGGGTTGGCCTTCTGCTTTGCATTATGTTTCCTCCTGGGGTTGGTCTAATGAACATGCCCTCTGGCTGGACCCACGGGGTGCACTTTGGCAACTCCCTTGCCTTAGGGCTGCTTTCTCTCCAGCTGTGGGATCAAGTCTTTGACTCTATGCTCCTTTCATTTTGGTTAACACTTGGGCCCCCAGTGGCTGGGTCAGAGGGGAACGAAGATGAGCAGCCTCCAGGTCAGCAGGTGGTTACGGGGAAGAGCATGGGGTTGGAGCCAGCCGGACCCAGACTTAAACTCCAGCTGGGCCACATGCTAACGGTGTGCTCTTGGGGAAGCCATTTATCCATTTCGTGCGTTGTCCTCAGGGGACCTCCAAGGGGTCAAGAGGCATCGTGCCCTCCAGCAGGGAGTTGTCAGCCGGGGACCAGGGCGCTCCTGCCCTCTTGCTGGGCTGGGCCTCAGGCCTTCCGGGAGGGGAAGGGCGGGCAGCCACTGCTGTGAGGGGCGTGAGAGGGCAGGTCTTCCAAGGAGACCAGTTTGCCCGTCCCCCTCGGCTTGCTGGTGCCAAGCAAATCACGGTGGAGAAAGTGCCATTTGGCTTAACCTCACCTGTCACTTTTCCATCTGGATCCGCTTAACCTTTTCAGTCTGATAACTTGTGCCAATTGGTATTCTTTGCCCCAGGAATTGACGGGTCCCCTCAGGTCAGTAACTCCCCAAGTCCCTGGACTCCGGGGGGTCAGAAAGAAGGGAGTCATGCCATCCTGCCACCAAGTGCCCATCCTTGGGATCACAGGGTTAAGGGAGGCCCGGAGGCTCTGAGTCAGCGAAGCAGAGGTTCTCCAAGGTTCTCCGAGGGCGGTGAGGTCTCCTGTTGAAGACAAATCCCTTCCCGAGCCTGTTGGTGTTGCAAAGTGTGTCCTTGTTGTCTTGCCTTCCCACACTCTACCTCTCTGCTTCACAGAGCTCCCTGCGTGTCACCTGAGTGATAAGTTCAGCCTGCAGGACCAGGTCACACTTAGCTAATGAAAAGCTGTCATCCTATCAGGACACAAAGTGTTATGTTTTCCCAGTGAGTCAGAGCAGGGAAACCCAGGCTGCTTCCGCTTCCTTCTAGCCCGTTTCCTGGTTTCCTTCCTGCCTGACTGTTGCTCTGTTCAATTCCAGAGCCAAGGTTAACACCCCTCTTCCAGGAGGAAGACAATCACCAGAGGCTGCTGGTGGGGCTGGTAAGTGGTCTGCGGGCTCTTTGGGGGCTGGTGGACCATGGGGTCCAGGCACAGGGGAGAAGGCTGGGCTGTGCTTCTCATTCTGATCTTGTTTCATTCGTTCTTTTGACGTGCAGCCGCTGCCAGTCACTGAGGCCCTGTGTGTTGAGTGGGAAGCAGCACGTGTGTGATTTCTGCCCCCTTGGGACTTGTTGTCTAGTGAGGGAGACACACATTAACCAGTCACCCCAATAAATAGATAATTACGAAACATCGTAGGGAAATGTACGGCTTTGAGAGGAAAGAGCAACATCTCTGTGGCATTTGTATTCGGGGTTTCAAATACGACAGAATAAAGCAAATATGAGAAAAATATTTATAAGTACATATTCATACACTTAAACTAACTAGTTACACTACTTAACTAGTTAACACTAAACGTTCTAGTTAAAGTTTCCTTGGTAAATAGAAATGTCCAAACTTGATCCCAGAAGAAATAGAAAACCTGAAAGGACAATAACCATGAAATAGTTTGAAAAAAATGCCAGAAATTATCTCCAAAATGATCCCAAACGATTCAATGAGTTAGTTCTTTCAAACTTTTCAGGCCCGGATCATCCCCATGCTATGTAAAGTATTTGTGACAAAAGAGGGGAAGCTTCTTAATCACGTTAAAAAGCCAGCGTAACTTTAAAATCAAGATCTGACCATGACCACTTTTACTATTTGAAAACACATGGCCAAGTGGGGTTCTTTCCAGGAATGCTTAATATTAGGAAATATGTTAATGTAATTAATCACATCACTAGGTCAAAGAGGAGAAAAAGATAATCTCTATAGGTGTGAAAGTTGATTAAGAATAAAATTCCGCTCCTGGAATACGCTAACTCAGTGGGACAAAGGATAAAGAGTTTGATCCTAATATTCAACATCCTTCCTAATGGAATGTTGGAGTCATTCCCACTAAAATCAAAAGGAAGTTAAGGTTCCTTGCTATTTTCACTAAGATTTTATATTCTTCTGGAAGTTCTACCCAATGCAATAAAAAACAAAAGTAAAAGAAGATGCTATGATTGTCTAATGCCACAAACAAACAAAATAGTCAACTGGGAAAATGGAAAATAATAAGGAGCGAGTTAGTAAGCTGGTGATCCTATATTTATTTATTTTATTAGGATTAACCAGTTAGAAAAGATAGGGAAAAACAATATTCCATTTGCAAATTCTTAGCATCTAGGTTTAATACAATTACAACCAAAAAGCCGATGAAGCTTCTCTGACAGTCGACTAAGTGATTCATTTGACAAAATGCAGAGTGGGGCTGCCACCAGCAGACATCTAAACGGGTTGTTACCGACAGCGATAGAAGCAATATGGTGCTTGTGCAACAACAGACAGGAGACTCTAGTTTAAAGCTGAATTTTTAGTGTGTGATACATGAGGAATTTAAAAATCAATGTGGAAAGAAAGAATTTTAATCAGTCAGTGGTTGACTGTTTGGAAAAGGAAATTAAGTTAGATTCCTCCTTCCCCAAATGCCACCACTTTATCCCGTAAACCAGCAGAAATACCAGGTAGATTAAGGAGTCTGATATAAAAATTAACCTGTGTGAAAGAATTCGAATAAAATAAGTGGGTGGTTAAATGATACTGAAATAGAGAAGGCCTTTTAAGTATATTATTGAACATAGACATATAGGAAATGATAGATTGAAAACTTGAAACATGAACCAAAAAACAAAAAGGCAAAGAATAAATTTGGAAAAAATATTTGCAACTTATGGGATAAATGATTAACATTTGGTGTACAGATAAAGTTTATAAATCAGTAAGAGAACAACGCACCAAAAGGGAAATGGACGAAGGCCGTGACCAATGAATTTCCAGAAGTAAATTTAGGCCAAAAAGTCTTGAGTTGGGGGAGGGGAAGTAAAAAGGTGTTTTATGTTGCTGTAATCAAATGATAACAGAACAAGTATTTTGTCTGTCTGTCTGTTTGTTTGTTTGTTTGGTTGGTTGGTTGGGGTTTTTTTGGCTTGTCAAAAATGTAAAAGTCATACTAGGGAAGTTCAGAGTATGGGAATTGGACAGCCGTGTGCAATGCAGCTGAGAATTCGTGTGACCACAGAGGAAGGCATTTTGGCAATATCTCCACAAAACTGAAGTATGTGGCCCAACAAATTCCATTTCTAGAAATTTAATCTGACAAAATAATTGGGGATGTGGCAAACAGCTTTTGCATAAGGATTTTTTATGATGTTATTAACAATATTAAAAGAAATATCCCATATGTATAAGAAGGGAATAAATAGTTCAATTATAGTACATCCATAAAATTGAATACGTGCCTGCATTAAGACTAGTGTGATAAATATTTAATGACATAAACTATTACATGAAAAACAGATTATAAAACATTAGAATGAGCATCTACACCAAAAAAAGGAAAATTATAAAACCAAAATGTTAAGGTAGATTGTGGGATTTGGGGCAATTTTAATTTTCATCTTTATGATTAATGTAGAAAAAGCACAAAAAAATATATTATATCTTAAGTAGAAAAAAAGAGGGTTTTTTTGTTGTTCTAAGCCAAATCAATGAGCAGCTGCAGGAGACCGAATTGCGATAATACACCACTCTGTCTCGGCCCGGAATGCCATGGACTAAGTTTTACTGAGGGAGTCGTTTAGTTAAACCTGCTAACATGGAAGATAGATGCACGTGTGATGTCAGTTGTTCAATTCCCATGGGCTGTTTATTGGTGCAGGGATCTCTCTAGCCGGAAGGGTCTCTAGCTGAGAGGGGCACCCAGGCAGAAGGGAGAAAAAAGGAGGAAGAAGGAGAAGGAGAGAGAAAGGCAAAAGGTGGGGCGGGCTGGGAATGCCGCCCTGATTGGGGAGCCCCCAGATGATCAGAGCAGAGCGGGTTTGGAACAAGCGCTAGAATGAATATTTCTTTAACTTTGCGTGTCAGGAGGCTGCGTGGCACGTCTACATCTGTGTGCAGAGGAGGGTACCTGAAGCATTTCCTTTTTATTCCTAACCGTGTCTGTCCTTCCAAATACCCAAACCATTGCCCCTCTGCCCTACCCCCTTTAGCGCAGTCACGCCGTGTTTAGAGTTGTTCCCGTCAATTCCAGGGCCAGGAGCGGTAGACCTCGATCCTTTGGTGGATCCCAGAGCCTCTGACTCCTCAGTTAGTGACTTGCGCTGGCTGCTCTGGAGAATTCTCGCCAGGACCTGGAGGCTGCCTCTCAGCTGCTCACTGGGCTTGGGGTGGATCATGAGCAATTCCTCTTGGGGAAGACCTTGGTGCCCCTGATTGACGCCCGTCAGAGCGACACTGAGGGTGACGCATTCCTGCTGGTGGGATCTTCAGACCCAATACTTTTCATATTGATAAGGAATGTTAATAAATGGATCTAATTCAGACCACTTGCAGGCGTGAGTGGGTAGGCTGTGACTTCTGTCTCATCCATGTCCTGTTTTCAGATGGTGTCTGAACTCAAAGACCATCTTTTGAGACACCTACGGGGTGTAGAAAAGAAGAGAATTGAGCAGATGGTTCTGGACTACATTTCAAAACAGGTTGGTCTTGCTTTTTGTTCTCCACCCGCCCTGCCCCCACCCCAGCTCCCCCTCCCTGGCCCCGGCCTTCGGTATATGGTTCTCAGAATGTGGTTCAGTATGTTTTTCAAATTAGGTTTTTGGAGGTCGCCCATCCTCAGACCAGTATATTTGGTGCTGTAGATTGTGGAGAGGAAAAAAGAACCAAAAAGCAAAGAGAACTTGGTTTCGAAAGTGGTTTATTGCGCTCCTTTCAAATAGTGATTGCATGCCCACGGGAGCATACAACAGCGATGAATTTAGCATGGTTGCCAAATGTTCGCATCGTGTCTTGGCATCTTCCAGTTCCTTATTAAACAGTAGATAATCATTCTGTACATGGAGGTTTATGCAGACGTGAAAGAACTGGAACTTCAATTCTCAATTAGCTCCAATGGCCCAATTAGGCCAGATTCCAGCTCAGTTGTATACATACGAGCTTATTAGAGTTTGCTGATGAGATCAGCAGCTCACCTACCCGGTAGCCACTCACTGAAATTCTGTCATCCATATTAATAACACCAGTTCATGTGTTAATAGAAGTGATGTTGCAAACTGAATTTTGAGGCTGTCTTGAGTCTTTCAAAAAGCATGTGGAGTTGAGGCCTGCCCCTGCTTAGAACCTAAACATAAGATGCTGGACAAATGTTTAAAAGTATTTAAATGCACAGAAAGAGAACACTCTGTTTCTCCAAGTTGGGTAAGACCAGTATGCAAATGAGCCAATGTGCAAACATATACTTTTGCATTGAACTCTGGGAGATTAGTTAAATTTATTAGATATGGCCCTGTTTTAATTTCACGTTTCATCTTAAAGTTGCTGCCTTTTTTGTAGTCATTAGTGACTGTTTTTAAATAATATCTTTGACTGTCTACAGTGAGGTTTGAGTTTCATAGTTTTTAATATACGAGGAAAGAGGGGCCAGTCCGGTGGCTCAGCGGTTAAGTTTGCACATTCTGTTTTGGCAGCCCGGGGTTCGCCAGTTCGGATCCTCGGTGCGGACATGGCACTGCTTATGAGGCCACGCTGTGGTAGGCATCCCGTGTATAAAGTAGAGGAAGATGGGCACAGATGTTAGCTCATGGCCAGTCTTCCTCAGCAAAAAGAGGAGGATTGGCAGCGGATGTTAGCTCAGGGCTAATCTTCCTCAAAAAAACAAAAAATACGTATATACTAGGAGAGGTTGGTATTCTCATACACTGATCCTTATAATCAGGGCACTGGACCTTTATGCAATTCTCCTTTGCAGTAGTACTGTCCTGAGGAGCTCACTTGGTCAGTGTGTTTCTCATCTTCCCCGTGTTGATATTAACTTGATTTTTCAGTCCTTTAATAACACACAGCTGTTTAACATGTCCACCTGTCACCTTTCTTTCTGTTGACTTTAAATTTCACCTTCCCAAGTGTTAAGGGTTTTGGTTCAAGCGTCATTCTTCCCATAGTTAGTTGTATAAAAGTTTCAACACTATTTTGTGTTAACAACCCCCTAGGACCCATAGGACCAGAAATGGTACAGATGTAGGCTCAGAAAACTCAGCACCCCTGACTTTCCTCCTCATCAGCCTCCGACTGAGGCCAGACCTGCCTGCCCCTGCCCGGCAGCGAACGGCCACGACCCCCGGCCCCTCTCAGGAGGGTGGCCGCACGGCTTTTCCAAAACAAATCCGCGGAAGTTGCCGCAGAGCCTGTCGATATTGCTTACGCGTTGTCTTCCCTGATTTCAGCCAGAGAAACTGAGAATCTCTGTCATTGAGAATCAGAAACCTGCCTCTGTGCCTGGATGAGGCCCTTTCTGATGCCCACGTGGGCACAAGTGCATTCAAGGCTGATCACAGCTTCGCGGGCACTGCCCTGTTGCTGACAAACTAGAAAAATGTAGAATCTGGACTTGAACCCGGTCTCAGTCCACACCACAGCTTATGCTCAGGACCTCCATTCTATTTAGTGTCTCCTTCCTTCCGACTGCCGGCTTTAGCCCTTGCCACGTACTAGTCCTGGAACAAACCCGGCTGCCCTTGACCTTCACCGATGGACAAGGGCCTGGGGGTGTGAGCGGCGGGGCCTGCTGGCCAGGCCAGGAAGCTCGGCCGGGGCGCTGCCCACACGGACAGAGGGTGCTCTGTTAGGCTCTGGGGCTCCCTTTCAGTCTCCCCGTCTTGGATTCCAGTGCCTCAGAACGGATCTCAGAGAGGCTGGTTCCGTGTCCGGGCCCAGCCTGAGTGCCAGCCGCCCGGAACATGCCCGGGAGAGCTGTCGCGGGCCAGCCGTGGGGTCCCTGAGGGAGAGAGTATGAGCGGAGGTTAACAGACTGTCTCTCCCTCCAGCTGGATCTCATCTGCCAAATCCTGGAAGCCAGCTGGAGGAAACACAACCTTCACCCCTGGATTTTCCACTTGTACGCAAGTATTTCTCTCTCTTATCGTGGTGCACACAGGGCCAAAGCGGCTGATTGCTGCCCGTGTCAGCAAAGCCTTTTTGAAGCTTACAGTTATCATTATCGTTTACCTTCCTGTTGTTAGAGTCTGGGCACTGGGCTGGCGGTCGCCATCGTATCTAGGAGGGTTTTGGTGAGGCATAGCCCCTCGTGCTTAGCATGACTTCCCTCTGCACGTGGCACCCTGAGCCTCGCTTAGACAACAGCGGTTGTAGAGACGAGCTCCGCGGCTCACGTGCTGCTCTGTGTTTACCCAGCAACAGGCGGGCGAGCGCCGCTGAATTCGCAGTCTTTCACATCATGACCAGGATTCTGGAAGCTACTCACAGTTTGTTTTTACCTCTGCCCCCTGGTAAGTCTGGGCTCTTTTGTCCTTTGTGGTAAGAAGTGTGCTCTTTCTTCTTCCCGAGGGGCCTGGACTTCGGCACATTAAGTTCAAGGATGAGCCCTCCTGTGCGTGAGGGGTTGGGCGTCTGCTGTCACCGTGGGAGCTGGGCCGGGGGTTGGTCTCTGCTCACCGGTTCTCTCCAGACTGTGGAACTCTGCTGCAGCTTGTCACTCACTTTGGGGGGGGTCTAGGCTGGTCCCCTGCAACTTTCTAGGATGCTTTGAGCCAGTGGAGCTGATTTAGGAAGATCTTTCTCTGATGTCTCCAGGCCTAGTTTATCTGATCGAGAAAGTTAACACTCAGGCGGAAGTGGGTCTGGCTGGGTGTCAGACATTGAGTTCTTTTTTTTTTTTTTTTTTTGAGGAAGATTAGCCCTGAGCTAACATCTGCCAATCCTCATCTTTTTGCTGAGGAAGGCTGGCCCTGAGCTAACATCCGTGCCCATCTTCCTCTACTTTATATGTGGGACGTCTGCCACAGCATGGCTTGACAAGTGTGCCATGTCCGCATCCGGGATCCAAACTGGCGAACCCCAGGCCGCCGAAGCGGAACGTGCACACTTAACCACTGCGCCACTGGGCTGACATTGAGTTCTTAAGTGCTTGGAAGCTATAAGTTTTCCTTAGGATTTGGAAACAGGACCAAATCAGGCCTGAAAACACCCTTGGCATGTGTGTATGTGCTCATTCATTTAATTGGTCATTTGTCCATTCAATCAACAAACATTTACTGAGCAATTGTAACATGCCAGGTGCTGTGCTAAAAATTAGAGCAGTTACAAAAATTAACAAAAGTCTAATTGGGAAGATGTGCATATAAATCAGTATTCATTATAAGAGACAAATAAGCTCCCATTTGGTATAAACTACCTGCCTTATATTCATTACAGATAAGTTCTGAGGAGTATTAAGCTTTCTGATAGCCGTCACTACATAGTATATATCAGCTAGTTTTATTTAATCTCTCCGTTCATACACATCTATCCATCCATCATCCTTCCATCATTAATTCATTCCTTTATTCATTCACTTTAGGCCAACATGTATATGGTGCCCATTTTGTGCTTGGTACTGTTCTAAGTACTTTACGCAATTTAGCACATTTAATTTTCATTCCAACAATCCTAAGTGGTAGGAGTTTAAGTTGAACCACGTTAAATTGTTGATATCCAACCAGGTTTTGACCAACAACAGTGGCACTTTCATAGGGTTCCACTTAATATTATTCCCATTTTATAAATGGTGCCATTGAGGCACAGAAAGTTTAAGTAACTTGCATAAAGTCACACAGCTATTAAGCAACAGAGCCAGTATTCAAATCCAGGCAGTGTGGCTCCAAAATCTGTGCTTTTAACTACTATTCTGTGCTGCCTCTTGAATTTTATATTCCAGTTGAATTATTTGATGCTGAAACTTTGGCTATTTATGGGCCCTGAAAACCCGCACAGCACCTCTCAGCCTCCCTGCTTTTGTGATAGTTTGGGCTTGTTCACGCTGTCTTTCTCCATACCCCTTATCTGATAGGGTCTGCTTGTAGGGGGGGCATAGAAGGAGTGTCTGTTGACTTTGTAGGGATCTGAAAGTGACGATTCTTGTGGAGAATGGATGTCTTTAAATGATCCCAATGGAATCTGAATTACGAAATGCCCTCTAGAAAGACTGAAGGGATTTCATGTAAACTTTCTGTGGCTTTCTGGCTTAAATTCCTGATTATTTGTCACTAACACAAAAGGCTTGGTAGAGGAGTGGACTGACACTTTCAGATTTGTTCATCCTGGACGTTCAAGCTCCTTTTGTAAATAAATGAAACTGACTTACTGGGGACAATATTATTTGTGGGAGCTCATAAAAATCCACTTTCTACAGAATATCGCCTTCCTCCACAGGGACGGATAAGGAAGGAAAACAAAATGTCATCCATGGTGATTGAGAATTATTGTGAGTAAGACTTAATGGCTTGTGTCCATGGATCCAGTAAGGAGAGCAATTTCTCTCTCTCCTTTTCTCTGAAATGTTCATGTGACATGGAAATAGAGGCGAAGCGATGCCGGGTCGTGTGTGTGTGTAAATACTTGGCATTTTTTTGCGTATAGGTATAAATGTGCTTGCTTGCCAGGCCTGCTGGAGCAGTAAGAACTGTTTGAGTTCCAAGCGTCAGAAACTTGTCGCCCGAATTGTTTAAAGCAAAAAGGGAATGAGCACCACGAAAAGGAAGTCATGGTTGAGAGCTGGAGCGTTTGCAGTTTAAGAGGGACCGGTGGTCCCCTCGCTGGCGAGAGAAGACCCGGAGCCTGGAGGGCGAGGATGGGCTGGTGGAGAAGCTCGCTCTTCGGGCACGGCTGCCTGCTGGCGGCCCATTTGCTCTGTCGCTTAGAGCTGATGCGCAGAGAGGGGGCCGAGGGTGGGCTGTTGGATTTGGGGCTGTGCCCTGGCATTAGAGGAGGCAGGGCCCCAGGGACCATTAGGGCATGGACGCAGGACCAGAGAAGGAATTTCGAATCCAGGAAATCTATGATAAACTTTTCTTCAGAAACAATTTGTCACTGTTTTTAATCCTGGGAAGAATGTCCAAATCCATTTGAAAAGTCTCATGTTGTTGAGCAGCTGGTAAAAGCACTGTTTTTTTTGGATTCAGGGAAGCTAGTGGCCTCCTCTCGTTGTTAGCCCGTTCACATCTGCTGTGAGCAGAGTCTGCACTTTGTGTGAGCCTGGACGCTGCCAGGACTCCGGACTCAAGTCCCCCACTGCTCTTGACTCATGTGCTCAGAGGGGAGCCTCCGTGATTTCTCTGAGGCAAGTCCCTGCCCTTTGGCCATCGTTTCTTCGTCACGCAGGCTCCCAAGCTTAGGCCGCGAGTCTTCGGCTCTCCACACTCACATCCGATCTGTCTCCGAGGGTACCTGCTGCTGTGCCTCTCCGACCCCTTCCTTCTCGTTCCCTTCTGGGCCCTCATTCCATCCTGCCCGGCGTCATCCAGTCGCCTCCTGACAGGTCCTCCTTCCTCCTGGAGCAAACTGTTCCTCCAGCCGCCTTTGCCTGTTGCCATTTTCATACTCCCAACGTAAAGCTCAGATCCTCTTTCCATCCTGCTCGAAAGCTGTCAGGGCCCCCATGAAGTTTACTAAATAATACATTTCTTGGGATTCATTGACTAAACCTTTCCAGCTTTACCTTCCATCCTTCCTTTTGCACACCAGACCCCAACTCAACTGGATGACACAGTCCTTTCTCAACACGCGCCATGCTGTCTCATCTTTGGGCCTGTGTTCATGTTGTCCCGTTAACCCACCTACCAGTCACCGAGGACAAGGTTGTGGTTAAAAGCCGAGGCTACAATCCCACAGCCTGCGTTCACATTTCCGCTCTGCCGCTTACTATGTATAGGATGCTGGGCGTGTCTCTGAGCTCCTGAGAATCTCGGTTTCCCCACTTAGAAAGTGGGGTCACCTCACGGCGTCTGTGAGGGTGGGGTGCCAGTGCGTGGACTGAAGGCCCCGCACGTGGTTGGTGTTGGTCACTGCTGTTACACCACGTGCTGTGCTCGTCATAGCCCGGCTCTAGGCTCAGAGCGGGAGGCTCAGAAAGGCTGAGTTACCTACACCTAGGAAGCACAGCAGGACCCGAGCCTCGGTCTGCTCATGCTGACCCTGCTTTTACTGCTGTCTCCACTCGGAGACTGTCTCACCTTGTTCCCACGCGCGGGACCTGCATTCACCCCCCAGAGCTCCGCTCACGTGCGTCTTGTCCAGGAGGCTTTTCTGATTCTCTCCTGGCCTGCCAGCGGCCTCTCGCGTGGAAGCTTTTCTTCTCCTTCATGCTTAGTGGTGCACGTAGAGCTCTGGCTCTGTGGGCGCCGGGGAGCCCTGCGCATGGAGACGGCAGCTGGAGAGCGCGCCTTCCTCCGTCATCTGCTGTCAGACTGTATCGTTTTAATTCTTCTTCTCTATAATCTAGTCCAAGACGGCGAAAGCCTTTCTCTAGGGCCTACCCAGAGATCAGGCATAGAGACTGCCCCCTTCTGGTCCAAATTTTGTCCCCTTCCCCAAAATGGTCCCCGTCCACCAGCCCTTCAGCCTGAGCATGTGGAATGGAAGCTCTCCTGTTACTTTTCCCCGCTGGCCATTTTGCCGTGGAATTGCAAACCTATTAAACAGTGAAACCATTTTTCACGGGGCAGGCCTTGCGCTCTTTTTGCCTAGGAAGGGGCACAAGGTGAAGGGAACTCAGACTCACTGGGAACTGACTGGATACCCAGCACAATGCTTAGGCGATGATAGTACAAAGAAGGGCGCTTGGACCTCGTTTTCAAGGAGCGTTCATTTGACTCTGGGTGCTGAGCACTGAGTTAGTGCTGTGTTAACATCGCCAGACTCGTCCCCTCTGGAAGGTGGGATGCTGGCCAACCGTGTTTGCCTCTCGGGTCCCTCCTCCCAGGGTTCCACACTCTGCACACGGTCCTCGGCGTGCGCTGTCTCCCTTTGCACAACCTGCTGCATTACATTGATAACGGGGTGTTGCTTCTCACGGAAACGGCCGTCACCAGGCTCATGAAAGGTAAGAGGCTCCCAGGTGGCCAGCGTGCTCCTCCCAGTCTGAGCACCACCCACGGGTGGCTCTGTGGGCGTGCCACCTGGGTGGGCGCGCAGGGCCCTGCCGCCCTCAGAAGGGCCCCACGCCCCGTTGAATGCTCTGCATTAAATCTTGAATTCTTACTATTTGAACAAGGGGTTCCTCATTTTCACGTGCAGTAGGCCCCATAAATGGCACAGCTGGTCCCTCGGAGGGCAGATCGCTTCCTGTAACCCCCATCGGGCCAATTTGAAGGCCTTCGCCCCTCAAGAGGCCCCACAGGGCTCTCAGTACACACTTGGCTGTTAGATTCCTTTTCTGTACAAGAGGGCACTTGAGGACAAGGAGACTGAAGGCTCAATTTCTCAAGAAAATGTCATGAAATGGCTGACTTTCAGCTGACTAACTTGGTCATCTCCAAGTTAGACTTGAAATGCAAGAAAAATTAGGGAGAAATGCAGGCTTATGTGAATTTAGACTTTAAATCATGTGTGTAGTGGAATCACTCTCACATAAATTATTCAGTTGTGGTATTTTATAGAGGAGTTTTGTTAATACATATTAAAGTGCTTGCCGTTCCGCGAGGTGCCTTCTGTTTCAGGTTAGCCGGTAAAATTGCGTTGTGACAGGCAGCCAGTTACAGAACCGTGTCCCATGATAGGTACAAACAGCTTCATTGCAAAATCTCTTTTTATGCAGAGAGACACAAACTCAAAACTTCAGAGCGTTGTCAGACTTTGCTTGAAACACAAGGCTGGGACGTGTGTTAGAAGCATGAAGCACTCAAGTATTATTAGCTTGCTCAGGTATTCAAATGGAGCTTGCTTGTTTTTTTTCATTTTTGCCCATTTCTAAACTTTCTTATAGATCTGGACAACACAGAGAAAAGTGAAAAACTGAAATTCAGCATCATTGTGCGACTTCCTCCGGTAAGCCTGAATTATCTTTTATTTTCTCCCTAACCCTTGGCATGAACCTCCTTCCGTTTTTTCTTGCAAGAAGAGCAGTTAGTTGCTTTGGGCTAAAGTCAGTGGAATTGTTTGACTTCTCAGCCCTCTCCAAGCCACCCCGTCCGTCCCCACCCCTCCCTCGGCGGCTCCCCTGGGCCTGCACAGGGCTCGCTCCCCTGGCTTTGTAATGCCTTGGCACAGCCCACCTAGAACATTTAGCCATTTTCTCCTCTTAGGAAACCACACTAATATTTACATCTGTGAGTCCGAGGCGACGGAGAGGGGAAACATGTGCTCTTGGCCTTTAAACTGATAAGAAATTTAAATACAGGTGAGGTCAGAAGGTTCTGGAACCGCATTTCCTCCCACTGTCGTGCCCACCCTGGCAGGAAAGCACTCCTGGGTCAAAGGAAGAACCAGAAACACGAGGGAAGGGGTTACACAGGCTCTCTTTGTTTTTGTGGGGGATATTAGCTCTTAGAGTCAGAAATACTGTGAGAACGTGAAATTCCACGGCAAGGTCTTCAGAGCCCCTGACCCTGACGCCCTGGCCCTCGAGCCTGAGCCGGCTCCGTGTGCTGTTTACATGCCTCGCACGGCACTCCATCTCTGGCATGGTCCTCCCACAAGGAGATGTCCATTGCCTTCTGGACCTAATCGTCTTGCTTTGTAACACCCTCTCCCCTCACGGGTTTAGGGAAGCAAAGGCAGGAATGGAAAACAAAGCATATTTTCCAGGGCTAGGTCTCTCTGAGGAATATCCCTGAACTTTTAGTTTGGTCTCCAAATTTGATTTTTTTTGCCTCCTTCTCTTAGGGAATTAAAATTTTCTGGGCAAGACACGGGCAAAGAGGTTGATCTAAACGTGCCTACAACCTTTAGTTTCCTATCAAGACATCACTTGGGGTTGGCATGCAGATGCCCAGTTTTGAAGAATAGCAGATGAACTCCATTTCAGAAAAAGAATTTAGCGACATTGATGTACAATCTGCTTTTACCTCAGGCTGCATTTAAGGGAGTATTTATTCAAAATTCAGAAGCACACCTCATAGGGAACGGCCTTTCAACAAGAGTCATTAACCATCAAGGGCCTGTCTTGTAGATGAACCAGGTACCGTGGAATAATACTTTAAAAATTATGACTAGATATAAGGTCCATTTGCTTAATGCAGTGTGAGCTATATTCTCCTATTTTTTCCATCCTTTTATTTTTTTTGTTGACTTTATTTTTTTAGAGTAGTTTGAGGTTCACAGCAAAATTACGTGGAAGCTACAGAGATTCCCATGTACCCCCTGCCCCCACACATGCCCAGCCTCCCCCCCACTGTCAGCATCTCCCACCAGAGGGTACATTTGTTACAACTGATGAGCCCACCCTGACACGTCATAGTTACCCGAAGTCCATATTAGGGTTCACTCTTCGTGTTCACCCTGTGAGTTTGGACGAATGTGTAATGAGATGTATCCATCATTATAGTGTCATACAGGGTACTTTCACTGCCCTAAAAATCCTCCTCTACATATCTTTCAATAGCTTATTGGTCAGAAGATCTGTCGACTTTGGGACCATCCTATGAGTTCTAACATTATTTCACGGAACCATGTGAAGCGACTGCTTCAGGACTATAAGAAACAGGTGAGTCTGTGTGAAAGCGCAGCCCCACTAAATGTTTTTTGGGTCCTGTTTGCCCCATTTTAACAGATCCCTAAGGACAGCAATTGTAGTTCTTAGCATTTTCAGTTGGCGCTTGTTTTGAAGCGTCAACTGAGACCAGAGCTGTTTCCCTTTTAGCCCCGGAGTTCTGTGATTGACAAGTCGTCGTACAGTGTAGAGTTTCTGCCTCTGAACTACTTCACTGGAATCCTGACAGATATAGAATCCTCCAGTCGAGGTAATTCACGCCTCTGCTCTCCCGTGTCCCTGCGTTTCCCTTGACACGGCAGTCAGTCCCTGTTCACCACTGTGTACCTTTTTCTTTCCAAAATATCCCTTACTTATAAGTAGGTCCTTAATGAAATTGGTTTTAATTAGCAATACACAGTTTACTACCTAGAGTAAATTCCCAAAGGAGTAATCACGTTTGAGGTCTTAAAAGGGTTTAAGAGGTTAAAAACTCATGTGGTTGATGCGAATGGCCTTTCTTGGTGCTGAGGTTTAATGAATTTTAACAACACATTCTCAGAATAATGTGTTTTCCCAGAATATAAAAATAATTATGATTCAGTGAGTGTGGGCACAATGTTATCAACGTTCCATGGCTTCATAATCACTCTTTTCTGTCTCTTTTTTCCAGCTCTGAATGCTTTTGAAGGACATGACAATGTGGACGCAAAATTTGTCGAGGAAGCCGCTCTGAAGCACACCACGGTGCTTTTGGGCTTATAAAAGAGGAAACGCAATTCTCTCCGCTTCCAATATTTTCATCTTGCTCATTGGCTCTACTTCTGTTGACGATTCTTGAGCAATATTTAAAATTGGTACCCCAGACCAGAATAGAGTGTGGGCCGTCTGGATCTCAGTCCAGCACCTGTCCAGACGGACCTGCACAGTGCTCCCTCATCCAAGTTTTGAACAGCAGCTGAGCAGTCAGGTACGGAGAGATGACAAACGGTCCAGGGAGGAGGCAGTGGCATAAATGATGCTCCTCCTGGTGACTTATCTTCCTCGCGCTTTATAGGCCAAAAGCTGCCTTCTGTTGCACTCTGAAATAAAATGTGCTTTAAAAATGTAGGGAACAGTGCTTAGAAAAACAAAAACTAGATGTGTCATTGAAAATAACATATGACAAGTGGAAAAATTAAATATTGCATAAAAACTGTGTTTGGAAATAGAATACTTTTTAAAAAACTGAATTTGGACTAAGTCAAATCTGCTATTTTCCAATATAGAATAATTTGTAACATACAACAATTTGTACATACAGTATTTAGAGTAGGATTTGTCTTTGTGATGGTTCAAATGGGACTGTATTTAATATTTTAAAGTTTTTTTATATTTATAAAAGTTTGATTTATTAATGTCTTATTAAAAAAATGGGAAGTTTTGGCCTGGCTCTTTTGTGCTTTCAACATAGCCTTTTTATTCCATCCACGAATCATGAGTCCGTGAACATGGCCCTTCAAAGGCCCCCATGACACCAAACTAGTTCTCTCTTTTTTCCTCTCTCTCCTACAGTGACTTCATTCTGACCCTTAATTACAGTTGCTGCCTGGAGTCAGCTCAGAACCCTTCACTTTTCTTTCTTCACACTGTTTCCCTCATTGAACTTGTGAAATTTTAATGATTATAAGAAGTATTACTAGCTGGTATAATAATTCAATTTTTTATTTTTATTTTTGGTGAGGAAGATTGGCCCTGAGCTAACATCTGTGCCAACCTCCCTCTATTTTGTATGTGGGTCGCTGCCACAGCATGGCTTGATGAGCGGTGCGTAGGTCCACTCCTGGGATCTGAACCCACAAACCCAGGCCACCAAAGCAGAGCACACGAACTTAACCACTACGCCACTGGGCCGGCCCCTCAACTTCTTTTTAAAATCATTATTGTGTTCTGAAAATCGTCCTCTCCTGCAGAATTTCCCTTTTTGGTCAAATACTTTGTGGTCACTGAGTCTCAAGATCTTGGAGCCGTCTCAGCAAGGCAGTGCTGATATTTTCTCTTGATAAGATCACTATTTTTCATTCCCTACCCTGTTCTTTTCATGCTAGGGTTGTTTCAGTCGCTTTCTAAAGTCTAATTCATCTGACTTATATTTGAGATAAACTCTAGTTTGACCTGTCACTCCTCTGCTCATAATTCTTCAATAACATGCCCTTCGTTACAGGATAAAACCCAAACTCCTTGACACACACGGTCTCCCAAACCCCGAACTTACACAGTTTCCCGATGTGAACACGCTGCTCCCGCCGGGCCAGACCACTGCACCTTGAACCCAACTTGTGTCTTCTTACTTCCAAGCCTTGCTCAGGCTCCTTCCCCACCTGGAATCTCCTCTCCACCTATGGAAATCTTGTTTATGCTTAAGGGCCAGATAAACATTCCATGGGACCGTGGTCCCTGGCCATTCCAACACACAGTGGCGCCTTCCCCTCTGAGCCAGTAGCACACGTTGTGAAACTTAAGCATATGATTCCTCCGACACAGGAGCTGGTTTGGAGCGTGCAGTATTTCTTTGTATTAACCACATAGCTTACGCAGAGTCACTCCTCATAGGCGCTCCCGTGTAATTGCTTTTGAGCAGCTTCACAGCAATCAGGTTAGAGCCAGGACTTGTAGACTGAGAACGAGCTCAAATTTCCCTCCAATCTGGCAGGATGGGGGCTCGGAGCAGATTTTGTTTGATTTAGCAAAATAAAGGGATGTGATATTTCTCACTCCCACAGCTGTGAAATAAAATTCATAACTGATACCAATATGAAATAAAGAGAGTTTGAGCATATTAAGGAATTTAAAATCACAGATTTCAAATCTACATGTGTATTTTTATATGTGAAAAAGTGTAAAAACAAAATTAGGAAAATATACTTGGGTGAAATGCAATAAAATTAGAGTAATGAAGTAAGTGGAACTGGCCTCATTTTCAACTCTTTCATGTGCAAAGTTATAAATATTTTCAGTGAAATTTTGAAAAATCTGGTATCAGAACTTAGAATAATCATGAATTTATTTGCATATAACGTTGTGAAAAATTTAGATCTATAAGAAAGATAAATCGGGGCATAATTATTTTTGTAGCAAAAGGGTTCTTTCCTTGTAAAAAGAATCACCATAACATTACTTTAGACACGACAAGCTTCCCACTGCTTTTTCCTTGATTTAGGTTTACCACCATTCACTTCAAAGACAGCCATTTATTTAACAGAGTTCTGCCCCTATGATACTCAGGCTATTTTCCTTTTCAAATAATCATTCTATCTTTCTCTTTAAAGTGAGTAGATTGAACAGTATTTTTTTTTCCTTCAATAAACAAAGACCACTCTGCCAATTTCTGTATGTCATTGAAAACTGATTTATTTTATTGCGTTTTCATAGGGCCTGGCCTACTATATATTTCTGAAAGGTAGTCAATATACAGAGTGAAAAAGACAGAAATGGGCAATGCAGATATCCTCTTTGACATAGTTGTAGGACAATTCTGTGTCCTACTCAACGTCACATGAAGCCTGGTGACAGGTCGGTGTGAAAGGATGCCGTGTGGCCCTCCGTGGTTGATGATGGATGCCATGTTTGTGTGTAGTTTGGAGCGATTACACTGACATTTCCAGCTGTAGATATGAGGAAGCCTGGTTGACACAACTCCTCGAGAAGCCTGCATTGGTCACATACTCAGATTTCTATTGGCTTTATAACAGGTTTCCTTATGTGCCTCATATTGGCCCCAGGCTCACTGGGCTTAAAAGGAGCCAGAGCGCCATACGGTTTTGGCAAAGGAAGAGTGGCCTCAGCCTCTGGGATGTAGGCATTTGGACGCGGCTCTGCAGTCGTGTAAACACCATCGGGCAGCTGGCGATTATCTGCTTCCAAGAACTCCTGCAAAGAATGATTTTTGTTTTTCAGTTTTCTGAAAACTCTGCTGAAGTCACTTCATCCTCAGGGCCCAAGAGACGCAGATGGGGTCTGAGCAGCCTTAGGCTGTGCTGGCTGATACTCTCCAAAGGGATGGGAGGGTGTGAGGGTGGAGTCACCATACACACACACACCCCAATGCCAGCTCATTGGAATGACCCATGTTGCTCAAGCATCACTCTCTTCCTGGGGTTTCGGGTTTACCATGAACTGGTTGCTGGGTCCTAAATTCACTATATTCCAACCTCAATACCTGTCATCAAGCACTAATTATTTGCATGTTTTGACAAAGGCAGGACAATCTATTTCTTTCGGAAAGTCACTGATGAGCAGCTGTGGCAAAGGAAGAGATAAGGAGTGAAGTAGGACCAGGGAGAGCAGTGGGCAGCGGCTGGCCGTGAGCCTCAAGGTCCTCAAGAGTCTGCCTGCGCTGCTGGAAAACAGAGGAATCTCTGAGAGCGTTAAAAGGAATTCTAAATAATGGAGACAGGTAAATGGCAGCGGGACACCCTAGGTAAATCTGAATGCCCTACAAAACAGAGTCCCGGGCGCTGTGGGAATTACAAGTCAGCCCTGCTCTCGGGTGCTCCTGGTATGTGTTGGGAAGGCACCTCATTCTTGGGTTAGGGAGTGAACAGTGATCCTCTTGGGACGCCTACTTAACAGTCTGAGAGGGAGTTGTAGGTCCCCAGGATGTAGTCTCCTTAGAATGAGATGCCAAATTCCATTCTAAGAACACTGAAAGGTCATGGGAGTAGGCGGAAGAACTGGGCACCCGACTTGCAGGCGGAGTCCGTGATAGACCTAGCCTTAGGCCAGTGGCGGGAGAGGAAAGGGGTGGCCTTGAGGCTGGTGATACACACCGAGTGCAGAGTCTGCAGAAGGCCGTGACAACCGTAATATGCTGGAGGCCTCGCAGTGTGCTGGGGCTGCCACATGGGCGTGGAAGAGTAAGGTGGGGTCTGAGCAGGGCGCAAGGACAGAGACTGGAGACCTGTGGATAAAACCGAGGCCAGCCTAGTCTCTGCCATGCCAGTGGGAGCCCAGGATGTAAGACTGTGGGGTGCGACTCGGTGCTGCCCAGTGTTCCCCGGGGAATATTATGGCACTTTGGACTATCTTACTTCGATGCGTCTACAGAATATCGTAAAACAACAAAGCTTCTTTCTAATGACTGTTGGGACTATGTGTGTGATAGAGGGGGAAATTTTCCCTATATTTTGGGAGAACTGAAGCCCCTGAGAACAACCCTTCCTGCCACATGTTATAAATGCAACACAGAAGCCACAGCTTACCCGAGACTTTTCAGCGATGGCCAAGGCATACATTTCTTCATCTCGAAGTACCTTCAACCATTCTCTCTCAATGTCTTTATTGAGTGGCAGACCCTTTTCTATCCTGGAATTGCAAGAGAAGATGAATTCTTCTTTCTCCCTGACTTCCTTTTGGAGTTCAATGGCCAGAGCTTGCTTCATGGACAGCTCGGCAACAAGAGCCATCATTTTTTCAGTAGCATCTTTGATCTTCTTCCGGTAGCCATTCATCTAGAATTAAAGAACCCAAGGCTTAGCCTATGTGTCCATTCCACGAAGAGTTGAAGAAAATGGCAGGGTGCTGCCTGTCTGTGATGGTGGGGGGCGTTCTTGCCCGAAGGAAGGAGAGTTTAAGTGGGAGTTTATAGAAAATAAGAATTGGAGGAGACCTCAGCGATTGAGCCCAACACCCTGGCTGTGTAAATAAGGACAAGGAGGGAAAAGGAAGAGATCTATTCATCTGGATACTGGACTTCCAAGTGGATAGCGTGGAGGGGAATAGTTCAATCTCTTTTTTTTAAGGGGTGATAAAGAGAGGGGGAAAAATGTGTTCTTGATGTCAAAGTTCTGACCTACTTTTGCCATGTTATTAGTCACTTATCCAGCAGAAAAAAATCTGGTAGAACAAAAACAATACTTAAAAGTTACTCTTTACTTCTATAAGATGATCAGCAGAGATCCTACACTGAAGTGATTGTCAGTGGAAAGGATCACACCTCAACGTGTTTGTATTAGCCATCGTAATTCCTGGGACGCATCAAGATTAGGTCACAGACAAGCAGGAGCTGACCTGCTTGGGAAAATCTGGCCAATAATTTGAAATGAAATGTTCCTGGTTGTGTGTGTGTGTTTACCACTTCACACCAGCTATTTATCATCAAAGAATTAAAAGATAGGACTAAGTGGAAGAACGGATTTTAAAGGACAGAAAAGAAGTGAGCTTGGAATTGGTGGTAGCTGTGTGCTTTCTGAAAGGGGCTGCAGCCAGGGCGGGGCTGTGAGTGGTGGCACCAGTTGCCTGGCCTTGTTTCTGCTTCATGCCCTGTTTCACTACTGACATGATCTATGTATTCAGCTATTCGGCGATTGTCCGTCGTCCCAGAAGAATGTACTCTGCGTGAAGGCAAGGACTCTTTGTTTTATTCATATTCCCAGTGCCCAGCATGGTGCTTGAACATAGGAGGCACCAGGCAAAACTAAAATGTTTGTTGAATGAAGGAATGAATAAATTCTTAGTCTATTTTAATCCTTTAGTCCTTTGAACTAGGGTGAACTGAGACATGCGTATGAGCTTCCATAAACTACACCTGACCCCAAAACACTTTCCTCTCCTAATTGAGCATGCACTGGCCTATCCGTACATTTGCCTGGAGAAATGTTGCTGCTAGTGATTTACCTGCCTCTGAAAATGTAACTGCTGACTGTTATGTACCAACTTTGGCTCCTTGATAGGGAATGTAAATTTTTATAACTCTTCCTTACTGCACTAATTTTTAGGAAGCAAACATTGAATAAAAATGACTACCATTTAAAAAAAATGACTACCATTTAAAGCTTCAATGATGAGTCATTATGTCTATCTTAAAGTTCGTAATTAATTAGCCATTGTGCACTTTGGGGGGAGGGGGGTATGCATGTGTGTGTGTAACTAGCCAACTTCCCTTCTCCATAAATCAAAGAAAGGATGGTGTTATTCTGGGTTCTCTAAGTCTTGGCTGAGATTTCGCATTTTCTGTTCATTTGGGAAACTTAAGATGAGAGACTCGAGACATGCATTCTTGCTGAGCACCCGCAAGGGGCTAGGCCACTTCTGCTCGACTGTGTAATGCTTGCAACAACTTCAGCTGATGTCACACCCATTTCACAGATCAGCAAACTCAGTCTGAAGATCACTTACATATCTTGCTCAAGGTCACTTGCTGGAATTGGTAAATCACAGATCTGGGATCTAAGTGTCTTTCTATCTTCCAGCTCTGCCTACCATGAGGAGATGATCTCAGCTATGCTGGAACTTTCCTGGCCACAGGACCGTGAAGGGTCACAGTAGACACCACTGGCATTTCTCTAGCCTCACAGTTAACTTCCAGACAGACTCTCCCATCAGCCTTGACAAGCCAGCCCTCGGGGTAACTGACTTCCCCCAAAGAAAGGGACATTCATTTTGCAAAAGGAAGGAAGGCAACATTTAAAGAAACACTGGACATGCTAATTCAAAGTTCATGAGCCTAAAAAAGTCCCAACATTTCTTATTCTGTGAAGTAAACTGGTGATTCGGCACAAGGCCGCTGGACGGATCGGTCCAGTAGTGGAAGTCGTCAGAGCAGAAGCCAAATAAAATGCAAAGGAGCCTTGAGATTTACAATAATTTCCTACTTATTTAGTGTGCCAGAACTGTTTCTAGAATGCGACTGTTTACTTACTCAGTAAATGTTTTTCTAGAGTTTAGCACATGCATTGGAGAAATAAGAACAGGGCACGGCCACTGCCCTCAGGAGCCCAGTCGGGGGTGGGGTTACCATTATCTATTATCTTCGCTGTCTGCCCCTCTAGACAGTGTGGGCCATGTGTCCCTTCCTCTTTGGTTCTGCCCTCCTGCCTAGCATGAGGGCCCACAGAGCAGGGGAGGCAACTACTGCTGACTTTACTCCCTGTGCTGTCACAGCGGGATGCTCCAAGGGGCCACGGAGGGCCAGGTCCTGCTGCGTCTGCATCACCAGCGTCCCTCCTGCTGGCTGCTCCTTTCACTGAAGCTTCTCGTAGTCCCAGCCCAGACCCTGTAGCTTTGAATCAGCACTCCGGATTAGTGCTCCAGAAATTAGGGAGCTCCATGTCGCTGGCCTTTCCTCACTACTGGAGCCTGGCGGTGGCTCCACTCCACAGTGTGACATGACAGGCCCAGGTGTTGTGTGACCGCTGTTCTCTTTAACGGCTCCCTTCCATTTCTGGGATCTGCCCGAGTTCTGGATTGGGGCAGTTACCATGCAGACCGCTGGATAGGTGAGGCCCTCCATTCACAAGGAACTAGAAAGGATTTAACTTGGCACATGAAATATAAAGATAATAATCGTCATATTTGAGTAGGTGCCCTGAAAGTGAAACTTGTATACTGTCATTGAAAAGCTTAGGTTTTCCTACTATAAAGTGAATTCATTCAGGAAACAAGACTGAAACTTATTTTGGACAATTCTCTAAGAGTCATCTTTCCATTTTTAATTTTACATCTTTAGGTTTCTCTAGTCAAGAAGCCTAATCTCTCCGACGCTTCTCAATAAAGAGTGTGGAAAATGACAAGTAAGAAAGGAGTAAGCGCAGAAGAGAGAAGGCAGGGTCTTGGGCAGACCTTCTTGGCTAACAGCAGTGTGTCCTGCTTGCAGGCCTGAGTTTTGCTGGAGAGCCTGTCCGTGAGCCGGGAGACCTCTTCATAGATGAAATCCTTCTCCAGCAACTTCTCCTCCTTCTTGGCTAGCTGTAGTGCCAGCTACGGTCAACAGCAATTTCAATAGGAAGGGGAAAAAAAGGTCATGCAAGTTAAAATCTTCTTTCCTAATTACAGTATTATTTTTCCCCCTTAATGAAGACATATTGCTTTTGCAGTTACCAAGATATCTCTAGAAAGTCTTTAGAGCTGGGCTAAGTCCACACTTCCCGGGCCCCAGCCCCCTCCAGATAGCTCTGGGAGTTTTTCCTCTCCATGGTGGAGAAGGGCCCTCTCAGCTCCCTCTAGCTTCCATGTTGCCATTCCTCTGATGTGCTCCCAGCAGGAAGACAAATTAATCCATTCAAGATGCCCAAATTGCTCCTTTGGGCTATGAGACAAAGGTGGGCATCTTGAAACTACTCATTTTTATTTCTTTTGGCAAGAGTCTAAAAGACAAGCTTAGGTTTCGTTACTAGATTACAATGAAAGGACCATATTAGTGGCTAGAATAATGAGAGATAAATCTGTTTGCATAACATGAAACAGCACCACAGACATCCATCCATGACACTGATCAACAAGGGGCTGATAAACGCTATTTTAAAAAAGAATGTTTACCTCGTCTAATTTTTTGACCATTTCCTCTTCAGTCATGTCTTTCCCCGGAAGGAAGCGGGTTCTGTTCTCACTCTCAGGATTTACAAACCGTTTCTCCAGGTCTTTTATTTTGTCTGTACACTGTGAAAACTATTAAACAAGAAAGAAACATTAACTCTAAAACTAACTCTCTTGCTCAGTAAATCTTAAAACCACATGGCCCAGGGGCCTTAGAGTCTGTCAGTAGACCAACCCAGGCCAAGGGGGAAGAGACCTCTAGCACCCCATCCGCTGGGACTTATGGCTAAGCAATGTTTTCTCTCACCCTTGGTTCTACGAGGACGATGCCTGTAACTGAGCCCTCAAGGCCAGGCAGTGACTTCTGAGTCATCAAAGGAAAAGCTGGTTTTTACAACCCGTCCTTTGATGACTTCCCATTTTGTGTTATACTCATGGGAGCTGTGTGGTCCAAGAATACAGACTTGACCTCTTCAACGCAGGTGGTTACAGAGGCCGATGTGGTCAACATACAAGTTATATAACATACTAGACTCCAATTTAAAACTCTTTGCTGGGAATAGGTTTCATGGCTTCCCAAAGAAGAGTAAAGTTTTTAACTACTACGTCAACACAATGCACAGTCTGTGAGGAATAGCCTGAACTATTTTTATCTTTTTCGCTAAATAAATACCCTTTATAATGTTTTCTATATTTTACTTATTTTATTTATATATAAATATATCAACTACATTTGTTGAATCAATGAGACTTTGGAGGTGGATGAAGAAATACGACAACTCTCAAGTAGGAGGGCTGGCCAAGCTTGGTTTTTGTTTTATAGACAGAGATGTGGAACATGGTGAAAATCAAGAGTTATCATTTTCAGCTTTTCTGCTGAAAACCTGTATAATCTCAGGCAAATCATTTATTTTCTCTAAACCTTAGTTTCTTCAACTGTCAAATGGGAAGATAAGACCCAATCTCAAGGGCTTGATCCATTCAATGAGATAGCTTATTTAAAGCACCTTACAATATGTTCAAGAGTGATATAGGCAGAATCTAAAATTTTTAATTTATGGTCTTCCTCCTGACAAAAAGAATTTTAAATTGTGACATAAATAATTTAATTTTTTTATTCTTCTTCTCTCTCCACACTCCATAATTGGATGCCCTTAATATGGAGTTAAAGTATACATATATATGTAATTAAGCATTTGCTGTATTTATTTTTAAAAACACTTAATGTTTCCTTTTCTTAATTAGGAAATTAAATAAGAAACAAAATTACGGTGCTTGCTTATCAAAGTGGTGCCTGACTGATCTTATTTCCCCATGGGCCTTTGAGGAAAAACTGTTTACTTTTTCTATATAAAATAGTTTTCTTGTGTCCTAAGATAGTTCAGTTCCAAGATCCCTAAAAGGAGCTGTAAGTACAAGCACCAGGAAAGTATGACTCATCCTAATCCTTGAATTAGTCTGTTGGACGATTAGAAACTGTTTCAAACAGTTGAAAAAATGCAAACCTTAAGAAAATTCCGAAAAGGATGCAAAAAATGGGAAGACTTTGGAAAAAAAACACAATACACTGCAGCTGTCACAGATAACAGGCTATGACAGGGACCTGGCACTGCAGGGCAGGGTGAAAAGCGGCTAGCCCGAAGCTCAAAATTCCACATCCTGTCCCACAAAGGGTCCACCTCATGAGTGCTGAGTAGACAATGAAATAATTAAGTGCAGTGTGAAGACTAATGAGAAACTTCCTATTCAACTGCTCTTAAGCTGAGAACCAGCCCTGGTAGGACAGGTAACTGATGAGAGCCCCTGGTCCTTCTGTCTCAGCTGTGCAGTCAGAATGCTAAAGGTTCACATCAGGCAGGGCATACTCTCACTAAATGCTTAATATTGTCCTCTTGGGGAAACTGAACAATGCATTTCACACTGAATAACTGGTTCTAAACAATGAAATGCCAAGTATATATATATATATATATATATATATATATATATATTTTTTTTTAAGAACAATTAATTTTATCCATTGAATAGAAGAACTGATTTGCAATTAACACAAATAAGATGCTTACATAATAGAAAGTGACTTTCTATAGTGGATTTCATTGAATTTAAAGTCCTTTTCTTCTGCCGGGTATCTCGATATGTCAGCATGGGCAAAGATGGCTCCTAAACTGTGTTTTGGGAAAGAGCTGAAGAGAGCCAAATTATTCTGTAAAATGGAGTGAGACCAGCCCAGAGTGCCTGGGGGCCAGCTAGGATGGAGAGGCTGTGGAGGGAAGATGCGTGTGAAGATGGAAAGATAAGCCAGTGAAACAGAGCTAGGCCAGGGCGCTGCTTGGGGTAATACACCGGTGGACTGTCCCCAGCAGTGGGGCGGCCCTACGGGACTTTGAAGGGCATAGATGTCTGATATTTAATTTGAAGTTCTTTGCATTTCTGTAATGTACCCCCTGACACTGTTGACCCAGATCCTCAATAAAGTCAGTTCACAGACAAAGGCCTTGCATGAATGGTCTTGGGAGGCGGAGGCTGAAGAAAGAGCGAGTCCTGAGTCTGCACTGACGTGGCACAGAAGCGGACCAGGCACTGTGTGTGCAAGCTGATGAGGGCACCCCGCAAATGAAGCACTCATTGGAAGCAGGAGTCCAAGCCACAGGAAGGCTGGGGAGGCTGTGTGGGAGACCTGGGGGATGTTCCAGCCAATCCATCTAAATCAGAGCTATGCTGATTGAAGAGGAGAATGGGAGAATTTATGGCTAAAAAAGTGAACACTGGAATCAGAACCTTGGCACGTTTGTGCGAAGTGAAAGATCCTATCGTCTATTTAGCATACACACACTCACATGGCATAAAATACGAAAGTAGACCGACCAGCCAGTTCCACATCGCCTTGTGAGTGCCCACGACACGATTACATTAAAAAAGCAGCACCCAAAACTCTGTCTACAGCATGAGCTAACGGAAACCATTTACTCATACGCTAGAAAAAGACCAGAAGGATCTCTTCCAGATTTTTGATAATTTTAATAGTGATTATATTTTGGGGATAGAATTTTATTTTATTCTTTCAAATTTTTGTATTTTTTCAAAACTTCATTAACTGAACACATCTTAATTTTACAATCAGAAAAAATCTGAAAGCAAACGACATTTTAGAAAACATGTTAGAGGTTAAAATTTGTTCTTGCTACACTGAGTTAATGGAAAAAAAGTTTAGGCCACAGATTTTTTGTCTGTGTGGGTGAGGAAGCTTGGCCCTGAGCTAACATCCATGCCCATCTTCCTGTACTTTATATGTGGGACACTGCCACAGCATGGCTTGACAAGCGGTGCCACGTCTGCACCTGGGATCCAAACCTGAAAACCCTGGGCTGCCGAAGCAGAGCACGTGAACTTAACCACTACTCCACTGAGCCAGTCCCAAGGTCACAGATTTTTCCGTTTATTTTTTTTCTTCCATTTTCATTAAGGAAAAAATGCAATTATGACATGTGAAGAAAGTAGCTTTATATTCATGTTTTATTTATTTATTTGCTATTTCATGTTTAAATTTCTTAGTTTTATTCTACTCTAACAAAGGCCATGTTAGAGGCTGGGTCATTAAATTGCAGGGAAACTACAGGGGTTAAAAAGGAGTCTAATATATGTGATTGCCAACTAGTCATATACAACAGTCTTGGCTCCAGAGGGCAAGAGCACCAAAAATAAGAGAGCTGGGTGGTCCCCAGCAAGCATCAAAAGATGATTATGCTGAGGGTAGTGAAAGCCTGGATTACTGAAGTTTTGAGCTATGAGGAAGCTGAGCTGGAGCTCAGATCTGGGAGGGTCTAAATTCCAAGGGTGGAAAGGGCTTCATCAGAAAAGCAGACATCTGTAGCTCGGACGCCTGCAGCACAGATTCCACCATGGAGCAGCGGTCAAAGGCATTTTTAGATAAGACACACAGCTCACAGGTTCTTATGGGTACCAGGAGAGGCATGGTTGATTTACTTGTAAGAACGTATGCAACCTACAAATTTATAAAGGAGAAAAAAGTGAACGCAAATGGTCCCAGGAAGTGTCTCTCGAGCATGTTTCCCACCTGAATCTGGAGCACGGCGAGGTCTGCGTCCAGGGACTGCTTGGCTGGCAGTAACTTCCGGGTCACGTGAATCTGTCTTTGCTTCTCAGCAATCTTCAGTTTCAGGAAACGGATCTTCTCTTCCAGGACATGTATTTCAATCTCTCCATTTAGCTTCATCTTCTCTTGGATGTTCACTTTTTCATAGAAGATGCACACTTCCTCTTCCCGCTCTATTAGCTGAACACCACTGCGGACAAATTGAGAGGCAGAGGCTGAGAGGGTGTTGAGGCCACTGTTTTACTAGTCGTTGTGGCCCCTCTGGCTTTGGGTGCAAAATACACACCAATATTGCATAATTCCAGAACACAGCAGACATTTACCATGGGCTTTCTAGTTAAACCCACTCTGAGTTTGTCTGGGGAGAGGAGAGGGTGGACTGCTGAGCGCCTGCACTCTGAGCTGCCTCTGTGGTTGGCTGCCACGGTATCTGTGCAGGTCCCAGCGGTTTTCCTGGGCTGGGAAAGAATGTCACCCCCGTGCATGAACAAAGTGAGCCCATAGTCTGATGTTCTGCAGACCCTCTTCTTGGGCCAGACTTGCCAACCAAGATCTGGCCAGAAGTACCCAGGCAGGGGCCAGGGAATGTGTTTCTGCAGCAGTTCTGCTCTATTTAACTTGCCAGGCCCAGAAGGTTCTTTTAATTTGAGTATTTCTGATAGGGATAGGGGCGCGGGGGGAGAACCCTCTTTTTGAGGAGAATATAGGGAAAAAACAAAGTCGGAATTTTCTAACTCCAGACCCACAGATCCGACTGGGGCCTGGGAGCAGGCTGCCTAAATGCTTTGGTTTGTGCCAGGAGCCAAATAAGAGGACTTTTAATTTTTTTCCCCCAGAGAAACACCTGCCAGCCCTTTGAAAAAGTGGTGTGCTTCCCACATGCTGTGCATATCCGTTATCCCAGAGTTCATCTTTAATTGCTTCTATTTCTCTCTCTCCTCCCTCAAAACACGTGTGCACATAGTCGTGTTCAGCTAATCTGAGCTCTATATCTTGTCTCATTTGCCTTCCGTGGGCCCCTCTCATGATCTTCTTGGTTCTCTTGACGACAGCAGCCAGCAGCAATGGTTTCCTGCCTTTTTGTACGTTCAGGGTTCAGCCCTTACACAGAACACAGCCTCATACAGAACAGCACACGATCAAGGTGCGATGAAGAAATGATTCTGCTACCAGATGTAATTACCATAGGGGGCTACAATCTTGCATTCTCGATTTCCCAGAGCACAAGCAGCTTGGGAAAACTGCTAAAATTGTAACTGATGAATGACGTAATTGTAGCCTGGAAGAAATGATGCTACCCCTAAAGGTCTCATTTACTTGCTGAGAAAATGAACTGGGAGAATGGCTTAATAAATATCAGAATAAGACTAAACCTGTCCCAAAAATGAACAAGATCCAAAGACTTATTTACGTCAATTACACTGAAAGAACCAGATGGTATCAGAGGCATCCCGAACGGGCGCCTGGGAAAGACTCTGCTGTCCAAGCGAGCCACTTCCCCATCTCTCCTCACGCCTGTCTCTCTTACCAGGACAGAGGTTCCTATTTTCAGGCAAAACAGACAGCCCCTCTCCTCCAAGGGCTAATGACACCCGAACCTCAAACCTCCCTCAGCATCCACTGTCAAGTCTAGAGAGAAAAGGGGCAACATTTTCAAACCGGATCCCTGGGAGGTGTGTTTTCTTGTTAGATTCCTGGTTTTCACCTCTCATTTCGATGCTGAACGGCTTTCTCGTATTTTTTGCGAAGCTGCACCATCTCCTCCTCAATCATCGTGATCATGTTGGCGAGTCTGTCAATGTTGTTTAAGCGTGCTTCCTTCTTCTCTTTCATTTCTTGGAGTCTTGCTACAATTTTGCACACATCGTTTTGCATGCTTTGTCTGATGGTAACATTGTTGGCATGTTTCAGCATAGAATTTTGTAGCTTTCTTTAAAAATAATGGGAAAATAGGTAAGACTACAACGTAGTTTCTTTAAAAACAATGCAGACTTTCGAAACACAAGCAGAACCAAAGCGGCTGTTGCTTGAGCGTGTCCCGTGAAAGGACAGCAGTCGGGTAACCATGACATTCATCATATGATACTCTTCAGGGCTTTCTGCAATCTTCCCAGGTCTCAGATTCCCCCTCCCTCTGGCTTAGGACATCTTTCTTTTGTGCCCCAAGCCTCTGCTGCCCCGCTTCATCAAAGCAAGAGACTAATTCATTTACTGCTCTGCTGTCCCCAGGAGACTGTGCTCTCTCGAGGGCGGAGAAGGTCATGTCTGATGACACCCACTGGACCCAGGGTGGTGCCTGACTCAACTCAGTGTCCCAAGAAATGCTGAAGGAATGCACGGCCTCCATGAATGATATTTTACCCCCATGTAGAATGAGAACCTGGTCAGGAAATTAGATTTTCCTTTTCATCCCAATCCCCTCCCCCCTCTACTCCCACCCCTTCACTACCCGACACACAAGAGGCCATTTTGTAATAACTTTATTAAAGGAAACTGGGCAATAATGGCCACCAGAAAACGATTAGGTTGTGTAGACTCAGTGGACCAGAGACCAAATACAGTGAAAGAGTCCAACAGATCTTGCCACACGGTAAATAAATTAAGAAAACACTCGCTGAAAACTTCTATTTTTTATGTGGATTAATTCATTTAATATTTAAAAAGTCCTGTAAAATAAGGACTATTTTTATGGGTAAGGAAAGTGAGCGCAGAGAGGGAAGGCAGCTTACCCAAGGTCACACAGCTCGTAAGTGGCAGGGCTGGGATTTGAGTCTAGCAAGCCACCTCTCTTAACTACTCTGCTATCCTGCCTCCCACAAGCACCTTAGATGCTTCAAGTCTGCAACCAGGGGATGTTAGTAAATAAGCGTTTGATTGTTTTCTAACTTTAAATGCAAATTATCAAATTTGTGCTTCTCTTTCTAATTGGGTAAGTGGAAAGAAACATCGTAAGCATAGTCATATATTATAGTTTTTCATTCACGTAAAAAAAAAAAAAATACGGCTCCCACACAGCAGAAGCAGAAGGAATCACATTCAGCTGCTTGGATTGTCTGTAAAGGAAAGTATTTTAGCAAGGGCTTTTCTAGCCTTGCAGAAGTCTGTTCTTTTCTACTTATTATCCCCAGGGTACTTCAGAGTTCAATAAATCAGAAGGGAAGCCTTTGAAAGGACAATAGTTATTGTAACACTTACCTTTCTTGAGTAACTGCACTATTTCTTAAAATTTCCAGTTCATTTAATATCATTTTATGCCTTTCTTTGATTTCATTTACTTTCTGGTGAGCTTTGTGAAGTAAGTTAACAAGTTTGTTTCTTTCATTTCGAATAGTGTCATACAGTTTAGCAAACTCTCTGAGTCTGTGAAAATACAAGTATTTTTGAAACTTGTGAAATTAAAATCCATTTTTTACCCCCACCTAAACTAGATAAATCATCATGTAATTCTTTTACCTCCGATGAATTTCACGTTTTTTCTTCCTATGTATCCTGATTTCAAGATCCTTAGCTTTGATCTCCTTAACAATGCTGTTATATTTTTGCTGAAATATAAAAATTATGAGTGAAATAATAATAATAAAAAAAACACCCACCACCACCATCATATGAATACTTCCTATCTGTTAGGAAAATTCTATCTTGGCCAGCTGGGCTGTGCAGATCAGGGAGAAGAGAGAAGGGGCGATCAGAAAATGCCTGGCCAGCTGAACTGAATCACATTGACTAGGAGAAAGGGCTAATTAAGCGAGAGAAAGAAGAGAGAGGAGGAAAAGGAAAGAGCCTGCACAAGCTGGGCTTGAGGAAAAGTTTGGGGAACTTCTGAGAGAGCCTAAGAGTGACTGTGGACAGCACGGCTGGGCTGGCTGCGTGGGTGGGGAGTTGGTGAAAGGTAGATGAGGGGAGAGGATTGGTAGTAAGTTTTGATAAAAGTTATGAATTGAACTCTCTGTGGTCCTTTGTGTTTTTGAGAGACTGAGCCATGATTTTAGAGCACTTTTCCATTCTTTGAGTGTGTTGTATGTTGAGTGTGTTTTCCTACACAATGAGGCACCACCCTGAGACCAGCCATAAGGTGGTGTATGCAGATTACACGTGGATATTTTAAAAGATAGCAGGTCTATTTCTAAAGTCCTAAAAATACACCAAGTGCCAAATACAGTCGTTATGTTCTTCAAATATAAAGATACCGGGTCTTTCATCGAGGGTAAGAAACGTACTCAAAGATGAAGAATTTGCTGGAAGAAACCAGAGGACATAGTTTCCGTCACCCTTCGCTCAAGGACTGTGGGAGCAAAGCCCACTTGGTGTCAGGGACTCGGAAGAAACCAGGCATCTGCGCCAAGGTGGACGGGGAGTAATTTCACGTTGTTCTCAGTGAGAACAGGAGTCAGGAAGAAACTAACATTACTTAGGTAACTGTATGTGTGAAGAATTCAACAGATAGAAAAATGTAGCGTCATCCACCTTGGGAGTGACAAGCAACACTGGTTTTTCCCTTCACTTTTTGTCTTTTTTTAGGGATGTAGATGAGGTGTGAAAATAAAATAAGATTGTTGTCTGTGGAAATTACAGATTACGGCTAATGGTTAACAGACTAATTCCCAACGCTAAGAATACTTCAGGAAAACAATATTTTTCCTTTACTGTTTTCCATATTTCAAAAGAAAGAGATGTTGTGTGCTTTCATAGCTATCGGCTCATTTAATGACGAGGTCTGGTTTACACAGATTAGTCACCCATAGATAACATATGTATCCATTTTGGAGGTTAACAAGAAAGTTGTCTAATTCATAAACCAGATGGATGTCCTTGTGACAGGTGTCCCTGCGCCCTCTCCTCTCCTTGTTTTGCTCCTGCTCTCAGCCTCAGCAACCCCATTCTCTAAGGCTGCCTTCGGTCCTCATGCCTCCCTGGCCACTGTGTCTCCTTTCTTCACTCTACTGACACCAGCTACCCATGAACCCTGCTGGGCTGCCGCAGCCTCCGTGACCAGGGTCCCAACTGCTTAACGTGGATCAAGCGACCTTCACCGTCTGACTTTTCCTGCTCTCGGGTCTCACTGTTTGACATCCCTTTTCCCCATCTTCCCATGTGCCAATCATGCTAAACGTCTTTTAGTTTCTCAAATGTTCTAAGAGGGAAAATAAACAGCTGGGGGATTTGACGAGTGTGCTGTGGGTGCGGCGTAGCTCTCTTCAGTCTTCTCCGCAATCTCTGTATTTAACCTCATTGCTCACTAACGCTCTGATGTGAGTGAGTTCTTTCTGAAGAGCAAGGAGAAGTGCTACCCCATGTAAATACTTGCTCAGAATTAGAACAAAGGTTGCCCTTAGAAACAGCCAACATCTGGGCCTTATGGTAAATTCAGGTGTTCTATTTTAGTAATATGTCATATCATATTGTCTGGACACAATCCTTACGTGGAATAAATGATTCTAGAGTTTTAGCCAGCACAACAGGAGGGTTGTTTTGGCCATTGGTTTCATTGTTGTTTTTGTTTCAGGAAGTTGCCCTGGGTCAGCTCTGGTACTTTGTTGGAGCCCAGCAAAGTCACGGGGTGAAGCAGTAACTTAGGGTGTCTGGCTTTGGTTCAAATGGCTTGATGAACCTGGGAGGGATAGCAGTCTAATGCTACCGCTTTGAGTTGTTCCCAGGCAGATCCCGGTGGAAGGTGGGCTGGGTCCTCCTCATGGATATCTGCAGCCCGTGCAGCTGTCAGCTGGTCCCTGGCGGTGCCCGCCCTCCTCTCAGTGACACTGCCCTCTGTTCAGCTCCTCTGCTCAGATCTAGCTCTTTTTCTCTCTAGACTGTGACTATTGCTAATTGAATCCTGGGACTATTCTTCAGTGCATGATTGAGTCTTGTTTAGGGCAGCTGTACAGCCACTGGACCTTGAAGGAGACTCAGGATTACAGCTTTCTAATGACCATTGTGTTAAAACGAGGCTGCCCTGAACTCCTGCAGTCATTAATGGATGGTTACAAAAGCGCACTCACCTGAGCTTTCAGGAAGTCCTTGGACTTTTGCTCCTTCTCATCAATTTTGATTTGCGTCAGTCGGACGAGGTTGAACACCAGATCTCGCATGTTCTCTTGCTCCTTCAGAAGCTTGTTTTCTTCTGCAAGTTGCTGTTCCACTAACTTAGACTCAGCTTCTGATAGGATTTTCTTTTGATAAATACAACACGTTTTAATTTATTTGTTTGAAAGAACACACTAAGGTATCTTAGACTACTTTTTTATTTCATGTGTAAAATTTATTTCATTAAAACACACAATAACTCTACTGCCTTAGCTCCAAGTACTCTCTTTATCTTATAAAAGAATATGCAAACATGGTAACACATGTAACATGGTAGAACTTTTTCAGATTCAGAGTCTATTTTCAAGTAACTTTTTGAAGAGAAATAAGAGCGTGTTTTAAAATACTTTGAGAGTGGCTTGAATAAACAAAATTTAAACATTTTAAATTAGACATTGGTGAAATAAAACAGTTATTGTTTATTTTTAATATAATCAATAGCCCTTTTATTTTTAAAGTCTCATGAGTTCGTATAGTTTTTGCTGGTTCAAATACATCCTTTTCCCCCAAATTTAACATGGGGTTGAAGTGGACCTTGAGATGAAGAAACAGACCCACAGCGAGTAGGATCCTTCTCTCCTTGATGACTTTGCTACTGATGAGGTGTCATGGAACACAGTCACAGACAGAACTTCATATTAATCATTCTGAGACAGAAGCTTAAATGAGAGTTGTTATTAACCTGTTGGGTCAAATTCCTTTTAGCTACTTCAACTTCCTTGTGGAGTTCTCTGCGTCTCTCAGATACTGTAGTGTCATCTTTAGGGATAGCTTCCATCTGGAAATCAAAATTTAAAGCAGGTATTTATACAAGAAAGAAATCTCCAATGTCACGTACCCACTCCATCACGTACCTTTTGAAAATGGTGGGCAACTCCTGATTCTCAATCTTATTGGAACTGCCTATTATGCTGAATCTTCTTTATAAATTTATGGGAAACTAAATAGGAAGACCTGTTAAAAATCCATAATTCACCAGCTGCAAATAATTCTATTTCGCATTCATTTGGAAATAAAATAAGTCTTATTAATAACGGCTAACATTTATAGAGCACTGACTGTGTGCCAGGCAAGGTTCTGAGTGCTTATATGTATGACCTTATTTAATCCTCACAATAACCCCTTGAGGTAGGTAACATTATTACCTCCAATTGTACAGATGAGGAGAATGAGGAGCAGAGACATTTAAGCAGCTTGCCTCAGGGATGTAGGTGGAAACCCAGGCAGTCAGGCTCAGAGCCCACCATCTTAACACTGTATTTTACCGCCTCTCTAACCCATGATTCAGCACTTTGGAAACATGCAAATAAATGACATTTATTATTCTTATAAAATGTGAACTCATTTATGAAATCCTATAGATTAAAGAAAAAAATAGGAGATATTGATTAAATAACACTGGGAATAGTTGGCTACTCTGATGTAGTAGTAGGTTGAGTAGCTAGAAAGTTCTTATACAAAAAAGCCTCTTAACCTCTTTTGTTGATACCTGAAATTCCACCATTACATTCCTATTGTACTGGCTTGCACTTCGTCCTCTGTTAAAGTGCTTCTGGGAGAGGGCAACATGCCATCGTCAGTCTTTGCTACCTTACTAGGAATGAGCTTGTCAGACTCTTTATGATGGAGAAGAGAGCAGAGATGAGGTGGACACTTGGCAGCCGATGGCGGAAGGGGTACCATCCGAGGATACAGGAAGGGTTATCTCGGGGTGCTGACAGCATACCTGATTCTGAGCGGGTCTAGAGTTGGACCTTTATACCAAAAGCACATGAGTCCAGTGTGACGCGGTTCATTTTCCTTCTGTGACAGCACACACTTCTAAGCACCAAGGCTGAATATTGGCTAAAATTTGTCCCAAGAAGGGTAGATCATACTGCTTAGTGATTTAAAGGTCACTTTTGTGAGGTTCATGCTGCTCTTTCAAAGCAGCTAAAGTGTATCTTTGGATGCTCCAACATCCATGAGCCTGTGCGTCTTCAGTAGCACCTTCTGTACCCTCAGATGCCCAGCCATGTTCTGCTGTCCATGGAGAGCTGGTTGTGGAGAAGCACACACTGGACTTAAGAAGACAAGACCTGGTCTTGTGAAAGCCATATAACAATATAGAGAATTTGTGATTGCTGAACAGATAACTGCTATGGCAGGGCAGAAAAGGGAGAGTTCAGCATAGACTTGGATAATCGAGGAAGATTTCACGGAAGAGTTAAGAAGTCAGCAAGGAAGCGTTTGGTTTCTCTTTCTGGAGAGTGGAGTTAATTCTTCCTGGACAGAGTAAGTCCAGCAAGCACCCTGGTCTCTGGTTCTCTGCCACAGGTGCCCAGGAGTGGGCTGCTCCAAATACTTTGCTCCCAACTGAAGGTAAATCTGTACATGAACACTAACTGGGACCAGGGAAGTGTATAGGGTTTTCATAGAAGATACGACAAGAGCATTCTCACCAGCTATTCAGTCAACTAAAGGCTCCCAACAAATTCTCCTAATTTCAGGTCTCAGACATCTAGGTTATTTCCAGTGTTTTGAATTACAAACATACTGCATCGCATTGCATTTGCGAATTCAATGAGTTGCATTCATTTTTGAACTCTGGCTAGCTGCTTCTCTGGCACCTTTCTCAATTCTCCATAAACCCAATCCTCCAGTTTTAGTCAGGAATTAAGGATGCTTGATTTGTGGAAGGGGAGACAAGGTGAACCATTGGTAGCAGAGCCTGCTGGTTGTCTAGCCAATATGACCCTCCACTTTGACTTTACCAGCAGAACCCCTGTTTTATTCAGAGCTGCAAGTCACCCAGGGGTCCTCAGATGCCTCTGCAGCTGCAGGTGACCACGGAAGCCAGGAGGGGCCAATGGAGTGAAGTGGAAACCTCCCGGATGGGGCTCCTGGGAACGTGACTGTTTTCCCGATAAAAAGACAGTCGGCCAAGGCAGCTGCCATATACCTTTTGCACTCTGCCCTAGCCCACTTTTGTGTAATCTTGTGCCTAAAGGTGGAATGGCCATCTTGTGACCTTGTGGAAAAAATAAACATGTTAAGGATGACCGAAGAAAGAGCTAAGAGGATCCTGGACTTTTCATTATGTGAAAATACCTGGTGTGCCTACCTCTGGACTTTTTATTATGTGACAAAACAAGCCCCTATTTAGTTAAATCACCATAATTGAGTTTCTGTTATTTCTTGCAGCCAAACTGTAGACCTAACTGATAAATCCTCTGGAGGAAATTTTCCTAAGGTCATCTGGAAAAGGCACTGGAGTTATGCTGAACTTTCCACTAATGGAGGAGGAAAAAGAAAATCTATCAAATGTCACAGTTCTAATTATGTTCTAATATTGAGGTAAAGTAATTTACCATTACTTTTGAACCCCACGTTGCATATATCAGCAGTTTTTGTAAGCTTACTTATTTTAGTTCTTTGTTTTGGTTTTTATAGAGTAGTATTTCATACTTAAAAAAATAATGTGTTTATTATAACCAACCAAACAATACAAAAGTATGTACAGGAAGAAACTAAACATCATCTGCTCCCAACCTCTACTTCAAATGCTCCTCCCCAGGAGTCACTGTTAATAGTTTGGTGTCTGTTCTTCCTGACATGTTCAGTGTATGAGCAAATATCAGTAACTTTCATAAGAGTTAAGAAATGAGACCTTGGGGCCGGCCCCGTGGCCAAGTGGTTAAGTTCACATGCTCCACTGTAGGCAGCCAGTGTTTCATCAGTTTGAATCCTGGGCATGTACATGGCACTGCTCATTGAGCCATGCTGAGGCAGCGTCCCACATGCCACAACTAGAAGGACCCACAACTAAGAATAAACAACTATGTACCGGGGGCTTTGGGGAGAAAAAGGAAAAAAAAAATAAAATCTTTAAAAAAAAAAGAAAAAAGAAATGAGACTTTATTCTGTTGCTGTAAACATCCCAGTTATTTGATATTGGTTAACCTCAGTTTCTTCAACGTTTTGATATTTTTCTAAAATATTCCGAAATTTCATGAGGTTTATGGCTTGAATTTCTGGGAGAGTCTCTCTGGTCAAAGGTCACAGGAGAATCAAACAACTGTCTCTGGGGGGAAACGAACGCTGAAGAACAGCCGGAGCCCTTGGTGCTCACCTTTCATCTCTCTCCTTTCTGGACTGCACGCAAGTCCGAAATGTCCACTCAGGCTTGGAGTGACTGGCCTGACCCTCTCCTGTTTTCAAGTACTGTCAGCCAGCTTAGGACTGTGGCCAGGCTAATTATAAGTCATGAGGTCAAAGAGGAAGTTAGTCTCTCACCAGAACTGTACTAGGACAATAACAGATTTTTCTTGAAATCAATGAAGGAAGAGGATTTTAGTACATTTTCATTTCTGTTACTTTTATATTCTATAAAATACTGATTTTTGCAGTAGATTGAGCATTCTACTGCAATCTCCTCTTTGGTCAAGGGCTATTCCTTATATATTCCATATCTATCTATCTATCTGTATCTCTCCAGCCAGATCACTCTATAGTGGCAAGCCTCATCATCAGAAACAGCAACCAATTAGCTTTACAGTATCCCGCTCTTAAATATAAGCAGACAGCTTAAGATCACCAGATCCTTGAGGAAAGATTCTAATAAGAAAGAGACAAAAACAAACAACAAATAAGAAAACAAACAAAAAACAGGAAAATATAACTTGAAAAAAAAAGAAGTCTATGCAGAGAGAAAAAAATAAAAAGAAACTATCATTAATATCCTCAGTTAGATAAGAGAAGATATGAGGTAAGAATAAAGATACTATAAAAAAGAAGAATTCAGAGGAAAAAAAGAGCTCATGCAAATTTAAAATATGAGAGCAGAATGAATGATTAAAAGAAAAAGTTGAGGAAATCTCCCTTGCAGTAAGTCCAAAAGACAAAAGAATGGAAAATAAGAGAAAAAGACAAAGAAATTAGAACACTGTGTTAGAAGGTCCAACATCCGGATAATAGGAGTCCCAGAAAGAGAACAAGAAAAGAGAGTGGCCACAATTAAAGAAATTATTCAAGACAAATTCTCAGAACTGAAGGACATAAGTTTCTACATCCAAAGAGCTCACGAAGTGTCCAGCACAATGGATAAAAATAGAAGAGCCACAAGTGGGAACAACATCATGAAATTTAAAAATTCTGGAGGCAAGTAAAAGGTCCTACAAGGTTCCAGCATGGAGAAAAAAACCAAACAACAAATTAGTTTCAAATAAAAGGTCAAGAATCAGAATGACACCAAGTTTCTTAATAGTGACTCCAGAAGCTAAAAGACAATTGATCAATGCCTTCATCAAGAGGGAAACCGATTTCCAACCTAAAATTCCATATCCAGTTAAATTATCAATTATCTGTGAGGCTACAGTGAGGAAAAAGTATTTTCTGACATCAAGGTGTTCTGACATGCATTTTCTGATGCACGAGGGCTTAAAAACTTACTTTCCATTCACCTTTTCTCAGGAAGCTACTGGAAGGCGTGTTCCTCCCACAAAATGAGAGTAAGCCAAGAGAGAAATAGAAGAGATCCATGAAATTTAGGGGATCCAACATAGGAGAGGGGTGAAGGGAGTCACCAGGATGATGGAGCAAGACTCCTAAGATAAAAGCGGGGAGTACAGACAGAGAGAAATGAGACCAGCTTGTAACAGATCAGGAGGCTGAAAAGGAAAAGCAGCCCTGACATCCAGGAGCTGACCTGGCACTCACAGCTAGGCCTTGGTGTTCTCCTGTCAACCACAAACAATTTCACAGAAAATCACCGTGAGACAAGACCACTCCATGATCATA